GGGGGGGGGGATAGGGAATAGGAGGGAACAAAATTACGTCAAAAGTCTTGAGAATTTATCGGCGCACTTTTTAAACTCCGCCTTTCCCTACAAGGGGGATTAGCATATTATTTCTATAGGAAAGAACGGAAGCTGAGCGAGATCGAGTCAGAGGTATGTAAGTAGTAGTTTTGTGTGAAAAGAAGAAGAGAAAAAAAAAAAAAAGAAAAATCCACACCCGACATCGCATAGAATCATCCTCAACGCTTCTATAGTGCGAGAGACGGCAGACCATATCAAATATGTTGATAAATGATTTCTTTTGACGATGAATTGCAAAGTGAAGTCTTTGTATTCATTTTCAAAAGGGAAACCACGAATTTTCAATGTTCTTCACGGGGCACCGATGACCGTCCATCAACGGCAATCCGGAGAGGGGGAAAAAAAACAAATTTATGTATTGGATGCGAAAAGGCTGCGATCAAAGGGACGATTGACCGAATTTCCGTCTGGCCAATCAGTCTTTTCCACTCGCTATCCTTTTTCAAATTAGATATTCACATGTGCAAACGATGTGCGCCCCCTGTATCGACGATTTTAATCTACAATTTGAATTTTCATCATTTTCGCTCTTACCAACTGCCGCATATACCACTAGTCGGCACATTATCTTAAATATTCTACTTTATCGACTGATGGTAATGAAAATTCCTCCCTGACCATCAGTCGGTAATAACATCATATGATTTTATGTGTAATCAATACAACAAATTCTTAATTATTAAGTTGGCAGTCTTGCAGAAACACCAACGAATGAATGAAAAGAACTAATTTACAACCGACCAATCACATTTTTTGTTAATAGAATAGTCTTAGTTGTTCTTTTTTCTTCGGTAAGTTTTTTCATCCCTCCGCCCACACCGAGAGGAGATTTATCGGATGTTTTATATTTAACTGTACATATCATTACACAGTGTACGCCTGGTGCCTTGCGTGTGAGGCTGCGTGAACGCCCTTCTGCGAAACTCATCTGATATTCCGGTTGTCAATTCAGCATTGACTGCTGTCAAAGTTTAACGGGGGGTGACAGTATCGTCAATTGGAGAAACATCTGAATCATCGTATCCAGGTGAAGTATCAATAATAAATATCGAACATGTAATTAACTCTAAATTGACTAGTTCCAGCCATTATTCTCGGTCAAGTGCAGATAAAGATAATGAAAATTGTTTTTGAAAACCACAAAATGCGAGGAAATTGCACAACTTTTCGAATGCACAAGACATTTCTCTTCAGGGGTATTTATTCAAATCTATAAATAAACAAAATTATCACAAAATATTGTCTTCATACTGTTGTCTTTGGACCATAAAAAAATTGGCAATACTTTGTTAATAATATACATTAGAAGTAATTACACCCTGAGCGTAATGACATCGAATAGAAACAGAAATTAGTCGATTGAAAAAAATTATAAAACTATTTCGGACAGCTAATCAAAATCAAATGTCCAAGGCCCTTTACCATAGATTCACTCCTCGTTCTCAAAAGACTAGAACCTATTAAAATTATACACGAGTTTATTAAAACTTACAAGATTAGAATCTAAACGACCAAAGACTACTGTAACTAAAGTAATATAACGAGCTAAGTAAAATGGATATGTAATCATCACCCAAATGATTGTAAATAACCCATTGTAGGTTAATACATGAATAAAAAAAAAATAAAAAAAAACTATTTCGGAATTTAACGGTTCGAAATAGATTACATCCAAGTAATGACTAAGAATTGGTGAATCATCTATTTTTCATTGAAATGATTTCCGTGATGACGATCGAGAGATCATTTTCATACGTCATCATTTTGATTCGTCTAAAATGACTAGGAATAACTCTTAGAATTATGGAAACAGACCAGAATAAATTCAATAAAACACGTAAAGTTGAGGGAGTCTGTCCTCTCCGTGAGAGACTGACTGTTTAGAGAGAAACTATGGCATAAGCTCCACACGAATATAAACAATAATAACATGACTAGACACTGATTATATCAGGAGCCTCAGAACGCTAAAATAATTTAGCCAAAGATCACATCTTTAATTGAATTAGCGTTGTTGTTATTTTCTCCAAATGTCTGATCCTTCACCTTCACTTTACATAAACACATCCGGTACTGAAGCTATCGCGTAACCAAAGGATGAATTTTATACAAATTGATGTCACTCTTACTATTGACTTATCGTTCCTCCAAACATGATACAACTCAATTTTCACCTGTCGTATTGATGATGAGCCACGAATTAAGAAACCCATGACAGAAAATCCAGTGGTTGGTGCCACCCTACCACTCGTTAATAGTTACCGAATCTCGTTTGGAATAAATGAATCATGCTATCAGTGCAATAATAACACGACTAGACATTGATTACATCAAGATCCTGAGAAAGCTAAGATATTTTATTATTTTCTCCAAATGTCAGATCCTTCACCTTCATTTTACATAAACACATCCGGCAGTGAAGCTATCGCGTAATCAAAGGATCAGTCTCTTCCGGCCATATCCGGCTTGTGACGTTATCCCCAAAAGCTCCATGCTCCTGTCATTTGTTTATCCAAAAATATAAAGCCCTGCAGTTGTTCAGCCTTGAAATAGACTATCACAGTTACCACTGTCATATGTTGAAAATGAGAACGAAACAACTGCGCATGATAACTGGAGTGCCCTTTTGGTACACGGCGCAGCAACGCAATGACCCATGCCCGTTCATATTGATTTTACCGTTGGCAGCCGACGGAAGGCCAGTCCCAGTCCGATGTTCGGGATAGTCAGGCACATTTCCCAGTCATTGAATTAATTTTCGGTAAAATAATGTGTTATTACATTAATATTAACTGCCTCAGGAGTCACTGAGAACTCCGAGTCTTCCGCGGCTGCGGCCGGACGATAAATTTATTAAGCTAACGGCTGTCATTTTATGTTGACAACTGTGACGTATCGGAAATATACAGGAGTAATACGACAGTGACATATTCCTCTGCTTTCTGTCTTCCAGTCCCATATTGCATCGACTTCGGGCACTGGGGGCTCGACAGTGAGGGCTGAACTTGAAATAAAATAGCGGGAAAAGCGGCGACAGAATGCCAGCACCAACAACAGCGGCAGAACCTGCCGAGGGTGGTGGTCCACCTCGCACAGAGCTGCAGGAGTTACAGCTTAAGGCAGGCCAAGTGACTGATGAAGTAAGTATTATTTTATTCAGGAATATTATAAATTACGCGACATGAATTCACTGATTAATGAGAGGGAATCGATTAATTTGGGAAGCGGAAGCCACCGAAAGCTTCAATTTAGGTGGTTTCAGGACGCAAGGGTCAAACAATCACATGGGCAAGTGTTTTTCAACTGCGAGAGAGCTTGCACATAACTTGAAAATACTCGCACACCCCTAGATTCGACAAATTGAAGAGTTCGCCTGCTTCAGCTTCATATTAATTTAGGTCATGTGACCACTGCAAACACTCCATCATGATTATTTTGCGAGATAATAATCGAATTTGCTGGTAATTGTCTGGGCAATATGCAGGCGATGGATGAAGATATAATGAAAATAAATGAAAATGGATATTAATGTTAGGGTCAGAATATCGATTCATAGGGAAATAATTAGTTCAACAGTTGATCGCGTCGGAGGTCCAAGATTTTGAGGATTTTTCCTACGGAATTATGAATGTTGAATGAATAAATGATAAAATCAAGTTAGATGAAGAAATGGGTAGATTAATAGACTTGGAGAACTAATAACATAAATTTGGTATTTTAGTTAATTCAATAATGAATGAGAGGGAATCGATTAATTTGGAAAGCTGAAGCCACCGAAAGCTTCAATTCAGGGGATTTAGAGCGCAGGGGTCAATCACATGGGCAAATGTTTTCAAGGGCGAAGGAGCTTGCACATGACTTGAAAATACTCGCACACCTCTAAATTCACAAAAATCAAATCTTCCACTAGCTTTCGGTTCCTCGCGTTAACAGACATTTTTGAACCTCCCCTACCAGAAATTTCAGACAAAAATTTTCAACAATGCAGAATGGTTTTCCCGATATCTGCAGATGTTGAGTCTAATCGAATTGCCAGCCTCCCCAAGGCATATCTGATGAAACTCCGTAATTCTCTGTTACAGTCCTTGGAAAGCACACGGCGTATGCTGGCCCTATGCGAGGAGGTAAGTCACTCAAACATCCGTTCCGTTAAAAATAGATTTAAAAAAAAATATTAATCTCGCGTTCTGTCCCCGATCTTCCTCATGTTTCTGTCATTACTGTCAGAATCTGTAATCGTCATCAATTCATCGTGATGAGCGTCATGTATGAGATAATCCCCCTCAACACTCTGTCATCGCAGAGTCTAACTGTAATCCTGTTAAAGAATCTTCATGTTGATAACGCATCCTCTTCTGTATTTTCGGTTTATCTAATCACCCTGGGATTGTTTCAATCGATGTGCATATACTGTGGATTATGTATTATCTGTGAGAATCCAAAAATATGGGTAAAAGAGGGCTGAAAGAGAATGCACGTCAGACTATCGATCCTTATTTCTCAACAATTCGTTGCAGAACTGCTGTTTTGTCTATCTGAGATACTAAAGATGAGACGTATTTGCCTTAAATATCTCAACTATTTCTCTCTTCTGCACAAAATCGAGTTTTCATAGATGTATTTTTTTTTTGTATTCGTCACGCAGGTGATAACGCGTGAACAATATATGAGCGTAGAATTTATCACAAAGCGTAACGAAGCTATTGTTGTCGTCTGATCGTCACTGACGTATGTGTGTTGGCCCTTCTCTGACTGTCAATATTTCAATGTCTGTCTGTCCGCTTGCTTGGCTGTCTATGGCGTGTCTGACCATCTTGATCTGTCCGTTATAAAAATATTTTGAAAAATCAAAACAACTGATGAAATTTAAATCATCACGTACTGAACGCTAATACCGAAGTACGTGATATTGTATGTATGTGATGTACGTCTGTTGTTTGTCGATAAATTTTTTTTTATTAATTTCAATAACTATTACAACTTGTGCCTTGTCTGGCTGCTCGAGTGCTTGCTCTCACATCCACGCAGACACACCCCCTCCCCCCCCTAAATTTATGTATAAAAATTATTAATAATACTTGCGTGGCTGCTGAACACATGAACCACTGATTTCAGATAATAATTAGAATGAAACACCTGTCAGATGTTGAAAATAGCTTTCCTAAAATAACTCGAGAGAAAAAAAGAATAAAAAACATCTTAAAGTATGTGCATGAAGATGAAAAAACTCAAGATGAAAGCAACATTTCTCCAAATTCACAGTGTCTCTATCCTGAATATACATAACTGTCGCTCTATTCTGATACTTCGCCTGCAGTTCACCTCTACTGTCTCAATTTTTTTTCCATCTTTTTTTATAAATTCACCAAGCCTCCATGAAAAAAAAAAAATGTGTAAACGTCACCCACTCGCTTATTCATTACTTTATGAAAAAAAAAAAAACTTCTGATGACAAAAACATATGATATTATACCTGCAGCAGATAAACTATTGTAACTCATTTCGTAATATCTAGGTGAATATAATATTATCATGTAATATTATATTCATTTTTATGAGTAATCACCACATGGCATTACTTATTACTTATACTTACTTGATATACTTTAAAAAAATATATACTATTATACTGAAACCATTTAATACTCCGACTCTTTAACACTCGTGGTGGTTGTGTGTGTTTTGCTGCCTCTGTACGAATAGAGCAAGGAGGCCGGCATCCGCACTCTGGTCGCACTCGACGACCAGGGAGGTGAGTTTAACAGCTCTACTAATAGTAATTTCAGTAATATCGGGGGATGATTTTTGGAAATCCGGTGGTTTTCGTCCAAAATTCTTTCGTCCAATTACATTTCGTCTAAGTTTTCGTCCATTTTTTTTACAATCAAATTTTCATCCAATTGTTTAAACAAAAAATATTTATGCAATTTATTTATGGACAATTTATAAATAAACAAGATTTATAAATAAATTATTTATTTATAAATAAATTATTTATTTATAAATAAACAATAAATAAATTATTTATTTATAAACAAACAATAAATAAATAAATTATTTATAAATAAACAATAATATGCTGTATTATTTATAAACAATAATATTTATATTATTGTTTATATTGTTTATTATTGTTTATATTTATATTATTGTTTATTTGTAAATGAATAATAATGTTTATATTATGTTTATATTATTATTATAAATAAATAATTTATTTATAAATAAACAATAATATAAATATTATTGTTTATAAATAAATCTACAATAATATAAATATTATATTATTGTTTATTGTCTGTTGTTATTGTTATTGTTTAGTTATAAATAATTTATAAATAAACAAAATGTATAAATAAATAATTTATTTATAAACAAGATTACAAGTGACAATTGATAACAATTGACACACTTTCCCCTAACATTTGTCAACATTTGAACTTTTTTGAACAATTCCAATTACGAAAAACTATAACAATTAACAAAATACTTCACAACACTTTATGTCGATTATGCCAACAATTTTTTCACCTCTTGTATCACACACGAAAATTTTTTATAGAAAAACCTATCGAATTCGTTAGAAAATTCTATTGAATTTATATTAAACTTTCTATTAGTTTTTGGCTGATTCTATTGACATGTTCAATAGAAAAAAATCAATAGAAAAAGTCAACAGAATTCAATTTTTCTATGTAACTTATTCTTGTCATATATTTTCTATAGAATTTGCTCGACTCAAATTTTCCACGTTTTTTTCATCAAAAGAAAAAACTTGAAAAATTTGAGCCGAGGAAATTCTACAGAAAATATCTCAATAGAATAAGTTATACAGAAAAATTGAATTCGATTGACTTTTTCTACTGAATATTTACTATTGAACATTTTAATAGAATCGGCCAAAAACTAACAGAACAGTTCAACAGAAATTCAATAAAATTTTCCAACGAATTCGATAGGTTTTTCTATTAAATTTTTTCGTCCGTGATACGTTATTCTGGTTTCGTGTCCTTATCAATGAGTAATTGAATTCGGATTCCTCAAATTTGTGTTTATATTTCCCTGTGTTATTCCATTATCGGGTCATTGCTCCTCCAAATTTTTATATCGAATTGGACGTCCAATACAGTGGACGAAATGTTTTTGAGACCAAGTGGTTTTTGGACGAAAAGTATTTTCGGACGGAGCTCATATTGGACGAAAAATCATTGGACAAATGGTTTTTGGGCCAAATGGCCCTCCCCGATTTTGTTCGTTTTGATTTAACCACATTTTAGTCGTTCGTTTATTTATCATTGCGAGAGGAACGATTAAATATCAATAACGCGTGGGCCCTCAAACTTCAAATTTTCTCTTGTTCACTCTAATATGACTCGTAACATGGGGCAATAATGGATGATGAACTACTAATGTGTGCAATAATATGTTGATTGATAATAATTTAAGGTAAGAAATCTTAAAGAGGGAATGACTATGACGCGTTGTTCTTGGCCTATCTAGGTTGGTTGGTGGGTACAATTGTACAATGGAGATTAATTACTTAAATAAGTCAGACATTGTTGATAAATACAAAGATAAAATGAATGATTGAGAGTTGCCAGTTGACGTTAATGAGATGTGACTGTTTTTCTATGATTTATTACCCTGTATTTATCGTTTTAAAATTTTATTTTGAATTTTATTTAACGTATGACTGCACTGCCTCCATTATTATTTAACCCAGACTGATAATGACGATTGAATAATTAACCTGTTAACAAACAATCCTATAACCGCATTGATCCTCACTGATTTTTATCACCACAACCACCACCAGCCACCACCACACCAAATATCAACGCCACCAGATGATGTTTATTTGTTCAATAATTGCTGATGACCAATTTAATCAGACAGATTATTTTTCCATTCATGATACAGTACAAGAGCATTCACACAGCATATCATTAAATATAATTGGATCAACGATTATTTCAGTTTATTTAATTTCTTCAACTTATATCGTTTGTCTCTATCACTCTTTTCGATGATTAATTGTCGCAGATTCAGTGATATTTCTTGCAAAAATTATTGCATACGCTCTGTGCCTCACACCACTATACTATGCTACATACATATTCGCATATTAAGAAGCGAGTTCATTATTAAAATCTGTCTTTTAACTTTTCAATCAGTCATTAGATCAATCTGAAAGCTTGAATAACAAAGCTTCATTGTCTCGCTTCTCGATTTAACAGTCATAAATCACGAGTATAAAAGTGCAACTCGCATATATATATGTAGCTGTAGTTGAATGTTTCGCTGTGTTTTCTAATATAAAAAAGTGAATTATTTAAATTTTCAATTGTCCTTCTCTCTCTCTATCTCTCTCTCGCTCCTCACCGAACTAGGCCCTCTGGCCGTTATCTAGGCCTTATGAAAATCATTAAATTATTTGGACAAAGGTATTCTCTATGTACGAATAAAATGCCTCGCTGTATTAATTAATTAACGTAATAGAAATATGTTGAATTATCAGACGTGTTGAGTAGCACTTTCATAATTTGGTTATCAGTATATGGACGGGCTTCCTCTTTTCAGTTGATGTGCTTGTCCATACATTCGCCTAGTCTGTCTCTCAATCAATCATCAGACAACTATATATTTTTTTTAATTATCCTGTTTCCTTCATCGATTATTCATTACTCCTCGTTTCCTTTATGTGTTGTGGTCTCATAGACGCTTCTAGGTGGTACTTATTATTTCTATGAATTATTATTTCATCATCACTGGGCACTGCATTGCAGTAATTGAAAGGCATCGGTATTTTATGGAACTAATGGGAATTTAAGCAAGTGGTGGAGGTCGATGAAATTTCAAGTGTCATGTGATTATTTTTGGATTTTTGCGATTATCTGGAGAGGGAGTTGGTTTAGAAGAAAATGTCGTAGAATATTTTTTGTTGGAAATTTAATTTTCTGCAAAATGTTTAGTATGACGTTTTCCTCTAAAACCACTCGTTAACGAGATAATCAGCAATCAAGGAAGATGGATTTTTGTCATATTTTTTATGAGGAAATTTCAGGTCGATTCGCCCTTTTCACCACTTGACAACTGATTTCCCTCAACAAATCATCATTTCTGTTTAGTTATATCGATGGCTAGATCACCTCCAACCCACTATGCTCTTCCGTCATGAGGACGGAATATTTTATGGAACTAATGGGAATTTAATCGAGTGATGAAAGTCGATGAAATGTCAAGTTTCATGTGATTCTTTTCGCGTTTCCGCGGTTATCTGGAGAAGGAGTTGGTTTAGGAGAAAATGTCACAAAACATTTTTTATTGCAAATTTAATTCCCTACAAAAAGTTTATTCTGACATTTTTCTCTAAAACCACTCGTTAACGAGATAATCAGCAATTAAGAAAGGCGGATTTTTGTCATAAATTTGATGAGCAAATTTCAGGTCGATTGACATCTTTCACCACTTGACAATTGATTTCCCCCATTCAATCATCATTTCTGTTTAGTTATATCGATGGCTGGATCACCTCCAACCCACTGTGCTTTACCGTCATGAGGGAATACCCCGATTAGTTCATTAGAACCTAGACGAGCACTAGAAATTAGATTAATTTCAGTTATCATCACCTCAAGTCTCGGCATATCAGCCATTAGTTGATTAGAGTAGTCCCACAAGACTGAGAGCACGGTGGATTATCCCTCAAATTTATTATTATTTTCTTTCTTCTTTTGTTGTAAATTAATTTCGCAGTTTTTAATCATATACTGAATGATGTTTCGTTCCGGTTGCCGAATACGTTGGCCGTCGTAGAGCGAGGAAGTTGGGGCGAATACTCTTGTGATGTTAGATCATCAAGGCGGTAAGCGTTTTTAGTTTTTTTTTTGTCAAATTCTTTATTTTTCCATTCCAAATATTTTCGTTATCTCGTATGAAAAATCATGATTATGTGTGTCGGGTTTATCTTATGTTCTCACGAGCCTCTCTTATTGCTTTGGTTATTTAATTTATTATGAGTATATCCTGATATTCAATCCACAACAATACCTTGACTAAGACAAATTGACAGTCAATTGACATGATATTGATGAACATGTACATATGAAACTCGGAACCAATACTTATACAGTGATTTTGACATTAGTTAGGTTTAGTGAGACGGTTGATGAGGTGATGGGGAATAGATCAAGCATGGTGTCACTATTTTTTTTTATGACAGAGTTTACACTAGGCCGGTTGATCAGTTATTGTGACAGATACCCTGTTGATACATCACCATGAGTTTGAGTTTCTGGTGGAGGAGGGGTGAATTGGGATGAGTCGATTTTGACGGTTTTGGTGGGGAGCGGTTTATCGCGGGAAGGAGTGGTTTCACGCGAAAATGTAAGGGGAACTTTTTGTAGAGGAGAAAATTTTGAATGAAACATGTCTTATAACATTTTTTCATAAAACCACTGGTTATAGAGATATTCCCCTTTTACAACTGATTGTTTTGAAGAGTCGAAAAATTTATCGGTCTTCTGACTTTTTGTAATTGTGCTCGTATCTCGGAAACTAGTAATTTTAGGAGAAAATGTATTGGAAACTTTTTGTAGAGGAGAACATTTCTAACAAAAAATTTTTTATGAAGTTTTCGTCTAAAACCAGTCGTTGTCGAGATAATTTCATTTTAAAACTGATCATTTTGTTCGGTTTTAAAAGTTGATAAGTCTTCTCGCAATTTTTGGAATTGACCTTTTATCTCGTAAC